ATACTTGGTGATACATCTACTGTTTGAGTATAATTATTATGAACGATGGCATCATGATTGCCTCGTTTTTTTTTACGTTTACACATTGATGATACCACACCCATACGAGTTCTATACTTGATTGTCAATGCTTCTGTTATGAACAATATCTTTTTTCTACCTATCGTCGTTGATTGCTTTTCATTCCATCGCGAAAGAAAAAAAGAATTGATAGATTATTTGGTTTTTTTTTTGTATCATCATCATATATATGTGTATGTATCTGTAGCAGAGTGAGTAGCACAAAAATTGGATGTACATTTAGCCAAAAAAAACGAAAGAGAGAGAGAGAGAGAGAGACAAGAAGAAAGGAAAGACGAGTCTTCGCCGTGTCTCTCTATACATATATTTATAGATCTAACAATAAATATACGTCAATGAATCCATACAATGACAACGACATTCAACACCAAACTACTTCAATTTCAGTCATATAGGATATGTAAATCATTATTTAAATATATACATATATGCATATGTTGATTGAATTTGAACAAGTCTCTTACTCTCTCTCTCTCTCTCTCTCTCTTCATCATTCAATGTCAGACTATAACTGTGAAGGATATGACTAGAGTACCATCTTTACTTGTATGCCATAAAAAAGTGAAATAAATTAGACAATTTTGATTATTTTGATTTATATGAAAACACTTGTGAATTTTCAAGAAAACTTACTGAATACCTTTCGTTATTGATATTTCCATTTTTTCAAATCTCAATTTTCATTTTGGTATAAAATGCAAGACTAAAAATGAAAATAAATGAAGCATCAGACAAGCACTAAAAACAGAAGCGAGATTATGACGAAAAAATTAGCTCAGAATACAGAATGTCTTCTTTAGACTGTGATTTTCTTGTAGTGCAGTAAAAACATATTATATACTGCAAAAGATATATCAGAGTGTTTGAATATAAACAATAAATCTCAAGAAATAAGTCTTCATAACATCTCACTGATCGCGTTTTAAGTTCGCAAATTGTTCCTATATTCTAAAAAAAAATAGGTTTTTTTACGAAACTTAAAAATCGTACCAAACCCATAAAAAGTTTATACAAAAAGTGCGAATCTTTCAAAAGACTTTGTACTTTTCGTACAGAACCTTTTTGTGGGTTTGGTTCAAAATCAAAAACGATTCCGATTTTATGTCCGCATGAAGAATCTTTTTAGATTCCGTAATAGAAACGCTTTGTTTTTTTAGAGTGTACTACTTTATCTACTATTATTCTCTTATGATATTTGTCAGATATGTTCTTCTTTGAGATTAACTTCACTGATAGAATTCATATTAGATTGAAACATGCTATTCAAAACTCCTATTAGGTGAAATCATTGTCGGACTCTAGTAAGTGTTTAATTAGTTCTTATGTGAAGCTCTTTTTTTTATTAATATGAGGTTAAAGTATTGTTTAAATCATAATATTTTTTCTGAATTATTTCTGCTATATTTATTCGAAAAAAAAGATACATATATGCATCTGTTTACTTCATTGTTCGCAACATTTCAAAAATGGCTCAATGATATTGAAATTGAAGGAAGAAATTCAGATGAACGTAAAGCAGTTGGTAAAAAAATACCAAAGCAAAAATTATCATGTTTTATAAAAGTTTTCTCTTCAATATTTTAGTCGATGTACTCGGTGCATGTTTAACATTTGATTGGCATCCCAGTGTAAATAAAATTGATTCTTGTCGTCATTAAGTTTATGAGTCTTTCCTTTTCATAAAGAATAATGTCAATCGATTTCATGAAAAACTCGTAATTCTGATTACTGATGGTACTCCTTGTGATCTTCTTAATGGTAAATGTCCCAGTCGTGGTGACGATCTTTGGAAAATGTCTGATCCATTTGAAAAACAAGATATTATATTAGTTGTTGTTGGTATTGAACCAGGTGTTGTTGTTTGTACTGATTTTTATTGTGCATTAGCTCATAAAACAGGTACAAAAGGCTTTTCTTCTCTTACTTTTTAAAAGCGACTCATTGTAAAATTTTAGGTGGTGAATATCTTCCAATGGTCAATGCTACACGTGTTCTTACTTCTGTTATTTTACGAGTTATGTTAAAAGAAGACACACTGTCACAATTATTTCGTCATCTTAACATCCAATCTGATCTTGAATATAATTCTTTATATCGTTATTCGCCTGTTCAACCAGGAGTACGTTATATGATCGAACATTGTCAAACAATGTTCGATATTCGAAAACGTGTGTTTACCTATCATGGTCAACCAAATGTATCTGACAATGATAGCAAGAATATCGATGATGATATGCAATCTGATACTCAATCAGATGAAAAGATTAGTATTACAAAAGAATGGGAATGGTGCTTCAAGGAATTTATAAAACCCAAATAAATAAACTTTTACATATGAATATTTTTTTGTCTTTCCTATAATTCTATTATTTTCTTGTAAATAGTTATTTCATCTCGTATACATAAGGTATATATTATCTATAACTATACTGTTTTAACAACCAAAACGTACTCTACAATTATCCGGTTGTTACTTAGTATAGATAGATTTCTATGAGTTCTATCTACACTAATAATTTCAAACCTCTATCCCCTTTCCATCACAACACATAAAGCCTAAAATTTGTCTAAACAACAAAAAAAAAGGGCACAACTTATGTAAAAACGGAATATAAAAAATCTGTTCTATTTCAAAGTAAGAAAATGTCATATGCTAATGTTCACTGGTGTAATCAATTAAAATTTCAATGTTAATATAGGCACGCTGAATCTAGAAATCGATAAGATAAATTATCTAAAAATCATGAAAAGGAGGAAATGGAACATGTGAAAGTTGTCTAATCAACATATCCTAAAATGAACTTGTATTTGTAAACCTTTTTCAAAGCCTGTTTTTCAAAGAACATCTTAGGTCCACGTATAAAGAGGATAAGAAAATTTATTTTAAAAGCAGTTAACTCGCCTTTGTCACTTGCCAAGTATTATTCTACGTCTAGCTACATTAATCTTTCAGAGATCTCTCGATTCATATAAGATATATCTAGACTACTTTCTATTTTGGTCTAAAAACATCGGTTTTACTGTCAAAAAACGTGACGGGATATTTGATCAGTATTTTGTAATTTTCTCCGGAACGACACATGATTAAGAGCTCAAATTTGGAGTATCCCTTCTATATTTAGCGTTCTACTTTTGCTCAAAATTATTCTGATTTTTATGCAGTAGAACTTGAGATACATAAAAAAACAAAACAAAAACGTGACGGAACTTTTAGCGAGGAAGATCTCTGTTTGAGGACCGAGTTTTTTAATTTTTGTTCCAATAAAAAATACAATAGATTTCGTTCACATTGCATCTTATTTCTTTCTCTCAGAGCTACATTTTAGCTATAATTGAGTGAGGCTTTGTTGAAGTTTTCATTAGGAAAAAACCAGTTTACAGAGTGATGGGACATTTTTGACCAAATCTTCGGCCACCAATACTTGGAGCGGATACAAGTAAAATAAACGCTACTTGGCTAAATCAAACCGTGCATTCTTGTAGCGAGTCTCACGAAGGTACTAATAAGTTAGAATAAACTCTTAAAACGTATTCTTAACAGAAAAAAAAATTAACTGAATTCACCGCCATTGGACATGACTATATGAAATTTCAGCGGAAAAGCGACATCTTTTTCATGCCCTCTATTGATAGATAATAGCTAGATTACTGATTTTAGCAGCCAAACTAGCCGCCACACTTGTGAAGAATATACTCTGATAAAATTATTGAATTTGGTTAAGAATTCTACAAGATATAAACTTAGCCATTGTTTCTTTCTGAATGGTGCAAATGGCGTGCAATCGTCTCATATATGTTTTTACAAAAAAAATTTAATTATAAGTATACATTTTGTTTTTAATATCATCAATTATTTGGTATTTCGTTGAATGAAAGTAACTTTATAACACACAATTATGCAACAAAGTTGCAACTTCATCGACTAGTGTAATTTCAATACGACATATATGTATATTAATTGATACTAATTAACAAAATATGCCTTTCTCTATATTCGAATAAAACGATAATCTTCTTATTTTTATTAAATATCAATACTTTCAACTAGCGTCCTCTGTTGAAATATTTTTGTCTTGTTTTTCTTTAGAGGTTAATTAACAGTGGCTCAAGATGACGAATGCATTTTTATTATTGACTAACTAACTGATTGCATTTATATTGAATCTTTTTCTTTTCTATTGAACAAACATAAACTAAGTTTATTTACAATTCCAATGGCAGAAGAAGAGTGAGCGTATTGTGCTGCTCGGATTATTATTGCTAATTGCTAATTGATTATTTCTCTTTCTACCTGTCTTTGTACTATCTATTTATTTGCTCTAATCATGAATAAAATGCGGGAAAGTCAGCATCAGACACCAACACCGATCAATACAAAAAAGTAAACGCTATATACATCGTTTGCTTTTGCTTATGAGCTTTTTTTTCCTGGCTTTCGCATCATTTTTGTTTTGTTATAATAGTTTCTTATCTAGTAATCATTTAATATTGTTTTCAGAACTATGGCTCCACTACATGGTGATAAAAATGAACGTGTTAATATTCGGGTTAATGATTCGACAGCAAATAATATTCATAAAGCTGCGGTAACACGTGATTATATAAAACAACCGCGATTAAGTAAAAAAAAAAAAAGAAAAAGAAAAATATGAATTCTTATCTTATTTCATTTATGTATATTCTAGCCTATAAAACTGTTGTTGGTGTCAATGGTCCATTAGTTATTTTAGATAATGTTAAATTTCCAAAATTTGCTGAAATTGTTAATTTAACATTACCTGATGGTAGTATCCGTAGTGGACAAATTCTTGAAGTATCAGGATCAAAAGCTGTCGTACAAGTATTTGAAGGAACAGCAGGCATTGATGCAAAATATACAACTGTTGAATTTACTGGTGATATTTTACGTACACCAGTTTCAGAAGATATGCTTGGTCGAATTTTTAATGGTTCAGGTAAACCAATTGATCGTGGTCCATCTGTATTAGCTGAAGATTATTTGGATATTAATGGTATTATTATTAGTTTTTTTAAATATATTCATAAAAATAAAAATAAAATATTTCTTTAATTAGGTGAACCAATTAATCCATTTTCACGTGAATATCCTGAAGAAATGATTCAAACTGGTATATCAGCTATTGATGTTATGAATAGTATTGCACGTGGTCAAAAAATTCCAATATTTTCTGCTGCTGGTTTACCACATAATGATGTAAAGAGTTTTTCTTCTTTAATTTATATAAAAAAAATATTTGAATTAAGAGAGGACCAAGAATCACCCTAGTATACGAGACATTAGTTAAAATTTAAATGTTTTATTTACATTCGAAAGATTGTTATCTACAATCACTGAAACCAAAATTTGTAGTACATTTGCTATTTACTTGGGCTATATAGTCCAACATGAACGGAATAGAACATAGTTTGTGAGTTCATAACGATAGATTTGTGTCACTTTTGATTCTCTATAAAATGGTAAAAAAAAAATTCACCCTCGAGGTAAAACGGGTGTCACATATTGATTTTTCAATAGAAAAAAAAACATTTCTAATGGTTTTCATTATCATGACACGATTGTAAAGCAAAATAAATGTAATATTCTGGATTAGCGTCAAAAACTACATCTAGTCAAATATATTGTAAAGGATTTTTTTTGCTATGAAAAAATGACCTATGATCTTCCAGAGGTTAGTAAAATCTAAATTTTGATCAGTGCCTTGATCCTCATACGAATCATCTCTTAATTATTCGGAATTTAGATTGCTGCACAAATATGTCGTCAAGCTGGTCTTGTTAAACATGGTAAAGATACAGTTGATAATGATGATAATTTTGCCATTGTATTTGCTGCTATGGGTGTAAGTTATTATTTTGATTTATAGTTTAAAAGATCGAATTTGATTATTTTAAAGGTTAATATGGAAACAGCTCGATTTTTTAAACAAGATTTTGAAGAGAATGGATCAATGGAAAATGTATGTTTATTTTTAAATTTAGCTAATGATCCGACGTAAGAAAGAAATAATATTTTTGTATATATATATATATATTTTTTTTTTGAATATTTTTCTAGAATTGAACGTATTATTACACCGCGTATTGCATTGACAACGGCAGAATTTCTTGCTTATCAATGTGATAAACATGTTCTTGTCATATTGACTGATATGAGTTCATATGCTGAAGCTTTACGTGAAGTTTCAGCTGCTCGAGAAGAAGTACCAGGTCGTCGTGGTTTTCCAGGTTATATGTATACTGATTTGGCAACAATTTATGAACGTGCCGGACGTGTAGCTGGTCGACATGGTTCAATTACTCAAATTCCTATTTTATCTATGCCTAACGACGGTAATTAAAATGTTTAAAACAAAAAAAAAACGAAGTTGTTTTTAATTATTTTTTTTTTCATTTAGATATTACACATCCAATTCCAGATTTAACAGGTTATATTACTGAAGGACAAATCTATGTTGATCGACAATTACATAATCGACAGGTAATTTGAGAATTTATGAAAATTGCTCACATAATAAATTGATTAGATCTATCCACCGATAAATGTACTTCCATCATTATCACGTCTTATGAAATCGGCTATTGGTGAAGGTATGACACGAAAAGATCATGCTGATGTTTCAAATCAATTAGTATGAAATTTTTTAGTTTTTCTTAAGAAAATTGTATTTGTTATTGTTTTAGTATGCTAATTATGCTATTGGAAAAGATATAGCTGCAATGAAAGCTGTTGTTGGTGAAGAAGCTTTATCATCGGATGATTTACTTTATTTAGAATTTTTAGGCAAATTTGAAAAGAATTTTCTTACTCAGGGTATTGATTTATTTATATTAAAAAATTGAAAAAATATTTTTTTTCATATTCTAGGTGCCTATGAAAATCGTACAATAGCTGATTCATTAGATGTATGTTGGCAATTACTTCGAACATTTCCACGTGAAATGCTTAAACGTATTCCACATAATATTCTTCAAGAATTCTATCCTCGTGATGGCGGTAAAAACTTACAACAGCAACCGACAACAACAACAGGATGACGCAATAACCATATATATATATAGATATATACACAGAATTGTTCTTTTTACGCATTTATATATTTCGAAAGAAAAAAAACAATAAATCTATATTTGCGTCTTAATTTGTGCAATATGTTATGTGTAGTCGTTCGTAACAGACCGGTTTTTTTCTCTTACTAACATTCCCACCTTTATACTTCTCTTATGAATGTGATTATACCCTTAAATTTATTTCATTGAATGTTATTACCGAAACAAATATATATGTTTCATCACCTTTTTCTTTATGTAATCGTTTATTATTTGCCTTGTTGTTTTATTCCAATCCTATTTATTTCGTCAGTAATTATGCAAGAATTATTATACTAACTTTATTATTTTAGATTATTTTCAACTTTCTTATTTATATATATATTAGATAAAGACAGATTAAAAGCTTTATTTAGTAAAGAATTAAAGAACGTTTAACCGTTTCGTATCGTATGACAGATCAAGATATTATTAATCTTCGTTCAGCTGACCCGTTCGCCGATGTGACCGGGAATAGTGCATTGGATAGTGGAACTAGTGGTGCTGCAAGTGGTCAACGTAGCTCCACTATAATACATATTCGTATTCAACAGCGTAACGGAAAAAAAACTCTCACTACTGTTCAAGTATTTTTTTTATGATATAATATTTTAATCAGAAGGGGAGAAACAGCAGACTTCAACATATATTAAAAGTTGGTAGTGATATACAGTCTTTGATTGTATATCAACAACGTCTGTGATGGTAACTGATGAATAGAGTTCGATGGTTCGAAAAAAACTAGAATCGAAACTATTAAATCATCAAATAGATTTAAAAATTCTTGAATTCATTTTTTCATTCTTGAGATTAAAGATTTTAGTATATATTTATAATGTTGTTTTATTCAAGTACTGAAATATGTGACGTCTTCAGTCTTAACAATTCAATAGTGAAAATTTTTCAAAATAGATTTAAAATTTTTGTATCTATATGATGATTTAACGAATTCGAATCTATGTGATATTTTGGAAGCCGAACCGGAGCTGTAGTTCCGAGTAATTTTTAGAATTACTGAATTCTACTGACTAGCATCTGTTATGGTCTATGGAGGGCAGAAAGTTGGTAAAACCCATCACGTCTAAAATTTTCGGACTCAGACCCGACCGGTTCTAAGGGTGGATGCAAATTTCTATCCCATATATTTCAAGACTGAAGTCTCTGTTGTTTCTCCTTCAGCTTTAACATAATTTATTAATATTATTCGGTTTTTTTTTTGTTCTGTGATTTATTAAGGGTATTGGTGAAGAATTTGATAAAAAACGTCTTTTAAGTGTATTCAAAAAGAAATTTGCATGTAACGGTACTGTTGTTGACCATAAAGAATATGGCGAAGTAATTCAACTTCAAGGTGATCAAAGAATCCATGTGAGTCAATTTCTTCAGGATATTGGACTTTGTCAAGCTGAACAAATCAAAGTTCACGGTTTTTGAACATACGTTTCATTGTTCATAATCGTTGATATTGACATTATTTGCTAATCAAGAAAAAGAAAAGACACTAATCAAACATTTGTTTTTTCGTTTTATATGAGTGTGTTCATATGTATTCAATTTCTTTTTTCTATATCTTCTATTTGTCATTCATTTATTTCAAATATACACACATACATACATACGTACCAAATGCAATGTTTTCAATTTCAGAAATATACATATATATATATAAATATTTCTAAAAGAAACTAGATGAATTCAAATCAAACATCAATGTTAACTGATGAAGAGGCTACTCTTTATGATCGACAAATTCGTTTATGGGGTGCCGATGCTCAATTAAAGTAATATAAGAAAAACTAATTGTGATTTCTAATTTAATTAGTTTTCTTTTTTGCTAGACTTCGTCAAACACGTTTATTACTTATTAATGTCAATAGTTTATCAATAGAAGTATGTAAAAATTTATGTTTAGCTGGTGTCGCTAGTATAACGGTATTTGATAATACACGTGTTACATTAGATGATATTAAAGAAAATTTAACATTAACAATGTCATCAACAGATATAAATGAATTTAAATCGGTTTGTACATGTCGAACTTTACAACAATTAAATCCACGTGTGCAATTAATAGCTGAATCAAATATGACAATTGATCAAATTGATGAAAAATATATTGAACAATTTAATTATGTTTGTTTATTTAATTATTATGATTTTTCAATTATATCACATATTAATAAACTTTGTCGAGAACAACAACATATAGATGAAAATGAAAAAAAACAAATTTATTTTTTTTGTGCTGCTACATTCGGATTATATGGATTTGTATTTAAAGATCTTGGTGATAAATATGATTATCTTAGGTAAACATTTTTCTCACAATTGATGTTTAACTTGTTATCATTTTGAAAATGAATTGAGTATTATTCGAGAATTCTATCAATTAGAACTATAAAATAGAGATTCTGAACCCGACAGGATTTAGCTTTAAGACTACCTTTCATTGGAATCAGTATATAGTTGAACCTGTTTTCTTCTTCTTATTTAAAACGTTGGAGTTCGGCGACCTCTTATTATCATAATTTTTCGACGTTTTCCCATCTATTCTTTTGCAGCTTTGGTTGTATCCGTGACTATTCATAGTGAAAACAATTTGATTCTACGTATTCATTATTCCAATCAAATAAATATAAAATTTAGAAATTTTCTTTCTTAAATGATGCCAATAAACATAAGAAAAAATAGCTAAGATTATGAAGTATCATTTGTCTACAGATTGATGCGTGTCATGGCATTGTCTCTGATAACAAAAGTTATAGATGTCTATCACTTCTTCGTTCGAATAGGAAACTTATCTTGGTAATGGCTATAGATTCATCTCATAGATTTATTATGCATTGGTAGTTATATCATTAGAAATTAAGCATATTAAACAAATAGAAGAGTTATATATTATATGTGAATTTCTTTTTTTTTATATGCTTTAATTATACTAAATCTCATGGCTAAGAAAACAGCGCAGAATCATACATAAAATAGTTTCGTATTCGAACATGAATTAAAATGTATATCACACCGCCTCAAGAGTTGTCATATATATCACTTCTAAGAGACTAATAAAAAGCCAAATGATGAGCTAAACTTAACATATTTTCATCTGTCATAAGAACTTCCTCAAAATATCTTCAGTAAATGTGTAGAAATTTGAAATCGAGTATTCATCAAAATATGAATAAGAAAAGTTCCATAATAAACTCAAGTATTAATTTCATATCAATGATATCGAAAATTCTTAACATACATTTAAACAATATCCTTCATACAAAAGAAAAACAGTTTTAGATCGGAAATGTCAATTTGAATTTTCGGAATTTACCTTGTTTTTGCTTGAATTTTCATATGTGAATTTTTCTTAGAAATATTTTTTTTTTGTCTAGTGAAAATTCAGTTGGAAGTGAATCATTAATAAAAGGTGAAGGAGGTAATGAAACAAAGAAAAGTGAAAAAATTACAACTAAATCGGTAATTAAATCATTTAAAATCATTACAATAAAATTTGTTTTCTTCCACTAAGACTCGTAATTTTATAACATTTGACAAAGCATTATCTACTGAATGGAAACCAAATCGACGACAAGCAACAACACGTTCGGCTATAATAACGTATAATTTATTACGTGGTAATTAAATATATATATATATATATAATCAATATGAAAATAAATGATAATTTGTTTATTTTAAAGCTCTTTTGACATTTTATGAACAATATCATCGAGCACCTGCATTAGTTACACAAGATGTTGATGTACCAAATTTTATGAAAATTATTCATGAAAAAATAACATCATCAACAGCTGCTGCATCATCATCGAATAGTATAGATACTGAAGAATTTAATGAAGAATTAGTCAAGTAAATAACTTTTTTATCGAATGAATGATTTTGTATATATATATATTAATATTATACTTATTTAGGGATATTTTAACAGATAATAATGCTGTAGCGTCAATTGTCGGTGGTATAATGAGTCATGATATTGTTAAAGTAAAAAAATTGATTTAAAATAAATTCTATATTTTTTTATTGGTCAATTTTCTTTATATTAGGCCATTTCGAAACAAGAACCTAAAGATAATTTTTTCTTTTTCAATGGATTAGCATGTGTTGGATTATCAATACCAATTGCTTGTTAAACTTGTCAAATATGATCTAGGATCTCTTATTATTTGTTCAAATTTCTTTTTTTTTTCTGTTAAAATTTAAAAAATAAATGTTACATGTATGATCATTGTTAAATATTGATCAGATTTATATGTTCTATAAGCTATTCGACTATTTATAGTTATTAAAAAGTAAATGCATTCAAACACAATTGTTTAATCAATAGATAATTTAATCACTTTTTCGAAGACCCAATATAGGTACGATAATGACTAATATTATAACAACAATGGCAACAGTCACGGACACAAAAACAGTTAATTTCTAGAAGAAAAATGGAACGTTTTGTACAAACGAATATAGTTGTTTTGTTTTTGTTTAACGTACTCCTCGAGAAATACTACGTGATGTTCGATGAACTACTGATAGTTTACGATGTGTTGTTGGATTTTCAATAAATGCAGCATTAGTAGATATCGTACCTAGATCATTTCTTGCTTCCTAAAATAAAGTTATATAATAAAAAAAAATCTAATAATAATAATAATTTCAAATAAAAATCATTCTATAGAAAAATTTGATTTTCATACGTTCGCTGTTAATGTATTGTTTAAAGGCTCCATAATAATTTTTTCAGTCTTACGACGATTGTTTGTAACTGCGTCAATATTTTACTATGATATAAAGTGTTTTCATGATTGACGTTCCATATATAAATGTAGAATACTCTATCCGAACATTTTCCTTTTACCATGTGTCAGAACAAACTTATTTGATTGGTCAAATGCCAATGATATGTTATTCCCTATTGTAAAGTTGATTGAGTCTTTTTTTCATCATATTGAGATTGTTTGTCTGATATACATAAGCTAGATCTAGAATATTGATATATTTTTTCTTGTTAAATGATGTCATCACATTAAAATGTCAATATAATTTATGTTACTCTTGTGTTATGACAAACAAGAGATTATTTACTATTTAAAACGACAATTAATACTATACAACCAAGAATATCTTTCTTTTTTTTTTTTTTCTTTGCTGTTCTGTTTCTTTTCGAGATAAAGTTATTGCAAATGTATGTTAGGAGATTCAGCTGTATAAAAGACGAATCGTTCCTCCACTATTGCCATTATGTTACTGACGTGTCACAGAAACAAGAGAAAAAAAGAGGAAGAGAAAGAATCATGTCGTTTTTTTTTTCTCTTATTTTTTTTCTACGCTTTCAATGATTGGTATTATGAATATAGGCAATGTGCAGCCCATTTCTATTGAGTAACGTCATAGATGTAGTAATATGATGTTTTACCTTATTTTTTTTTAATGCAAATTATCAATACACAGCAAGCCTGTGTAACCTATGTTGTATGGGAGAAAAGCAAAAATAACAATTCATTCGATTGATCTTTACTATTAGGAGCAGAAGATTATTTTTTTTTTTGTTTTTTTTTTGGCTAAGTACAGAAAGGAGAGAACATTCGAACAAATATAATTGCGAATAAAGTTTTATGGATGAATCATTTTAAAATACTACATAAATATATTTTTTTCTTCGTTGAAGGTTTCTTTTTTGTGAAAGATGACAGCATTTTATCGAACATTATTATATAGTGAGTGGATAAATTTTCTATTAATAAAAATAATTATGAACTTAATTTATAGCTTTCGTCGTATTTTTGTCTATTTTTTATCGATTAACATATTCACAATCACCAACAACATCATCGATATCTCCAATAGTATCTAATTCAAATAACACAACAAACTTTACAAATACATCCATTGATACTAATTCAGCATTATCTTCAAGTTCAACTTCATTTTCGAACAGTTTGGCATCAGTTAGTACTACTAATTCAATAAGTTCATCAGACATATCAACAACGCCAACTACAACAGTTAGTGGTTCGATAAATACTAATATTTCTGTGGATCAATCAACAACATCTAGTGTTAATAATACTCGTCCCCCAGATGGTAAGTAAAAGCTACAATTATTAATAATAAAAATATATATATATACATTAATCGATATGAAAATACGTTAACCTTTGAGCATGTTTACCAAGTTCTATGAGATAAACAAGTGTTAATAATAGTTAAACAAGAAGAATATATGTTTGTTTTTGGTAAGAATTATTATATGCCCTTTTCTTTTCTTTAGCATCATCAGGACCAGGCTGGTGGTTGTTAGTTGCCCTTCTTATAACAATAGCCATCGTTATTATTGCTGGTATTATTTTCTATTATCGAAAGCAATCTTCATATAGACGGTAAGGATTATTGGAACAATATGCTTCTAATTATAATGCATGCATATGATTTTCTTATTAGTATAATTTAGCCAAAATCAAGCAAAACTAACGATAGTTTTAGCAAAGATTAAATATTTATCAATAATAAGAGAATATATATATATAGATAGATAGATGAATTTTGCGTTCTTAAAATATGTCATTTCAATATTGGGAATAACTAAATAGAATTATTTAAAATTTAATATTTTTTTCACTAGATTTAGAGGAAAAAAAAGATTTCTTATTTAAGTATATCTTGTTTACTGCTTCTTTTCGTACTATTTTATTTAATGATTATATCATCTAAGATGCTATTTTGCTTTGAGAACAAGAGTATTTGAATGATTAATTTTAGATGTATCCCTTGTTTACAATGGAATAGACAATACAATTTCAGGTATATCTCATTGGATAACTTAAGTTTTAATAAATTAGCCTTCTCTCAATTTCTGTAACAATAATACTAGCATTGTGTGGCATGGAGGAGCACGCTGATTGTTTATTCTGATTGATTCTTTAATTTATTTTAATTAATTTCAAAATTTTTATATGTTAATTTTTCTATTAGATTTCTTCGAAATTGGCGATCACGTGATGATGATGCAGATAATATTATTTTACAACTTGAACAATCCGAAATATCACCTGGTCAATGGCCACCTCGAATCTCTTTTACTTAATTAATTAATTATTTATTTATTTATTTATTTATTCTGTTTACCTATCTAGATATATAAATAAGAACAATCATATTTGTTATAAAAATTTAATAGTTATTTTATGAAGATTCTTACAATGTTCAATCAATTTTGACGGTTGATTTTTTTTTGACGTTTAACTATGTTTTTTTACTTGCACGATTTGAATATGAGTGATTCCATTTCGTTATGCTACATTAAAATTATAGTAATCTATATGGTTCTTTCGAATGATTGAGTCTAATATGATGTAAAATATAACAATATTAAAAAGTAGTAATACAATTTATGTCCATAATCTCTCAGCTGGAATAAATTGAAGTGTAGTTCAAGTATCGTATGAAAAAGTTATTTGAAATTTGAGGTCAACTTATAACGTTTCTTGATTAAATGTATTACTAATTAGAATCGATAATTTTTTGTGAATGTCAAAGGATTTACTAAAAACTATTCTCAAAGTATAAACTATTGGAGATACTATTTTTGTTTTCTCTGTATCATAAAAAAGTCCGAATACTAATATACACAGAGGTGCCTTGAGTGGTGATTTATTGCCCAATCTTGAGAAATTTTCGTTTATCTTCAATGTTTTATTAGTTGTTTTGATCACTAATTCTCAAAAAAAAAAAACGCCGAATGCTGCCCTCTTAATCCTGACAATCTCCAAACACCCTGAATATATCTGTTTAGTTTATTAATCTATGAATTGTGAAATATGTCTTTGAGATAATAGAAATATAAATGTATTTCTAAAAGATTTTATATTACATTCAGAGTTGCACTATAAACCTTTTCTTTTTCAAGTTCATTAACATTAATCACAAATACAAGTAACTCTATCATCATCATCATCATTAATCAAACGACGAATATTTCAAAAACCATTGTATTAAAACAATGAATTTGTTCTCAAGTTACTTATCTTGTCGACTCTTTTGTTAGCTTGTCATTATTGGAAAAAAAAACAAAATAGGCGTGAGATTGATTTAGATACATGAATGACTTCATATGGATTCTATCAAAAAAAAATACAAACATGATAAGACAGTCGAATCTGTTGTTGAATAAATAGCATATAGTATTAACAAATATATACGATCTTTTTATCGTTTCTCATGTAGTTTTTAATCTTTATAAATGTTACGTTCTCAGAGTGTTACGTATATAAATTCTACACAGTAAATCAATAAAACAAGAAAGAAATATGATAAACGTTAGGTTGTTTTTCGTTCATTTAATCTAATATATCCAATTAGAAACAATGAGTGTTTGATTCATAGAAGATATTACAAACGACAATTCCTACATCATATTCGAGTACTACGTTATGAGTAGCTTATAGGGGAGATTCACAAGAAATTAAACTTATCTCGTTATATTTTTATGCTTTTCAAATTACACTGACTTTCACAATTGTCATCCTTTAGTCCTTCTAGCCCTTCTAATCCCTTTAGTCTTTTTAGTCCTTTTGCGTGTAGGTTGGGCGTGTGTGTTCGTTGATAGAAGTGTTTATTTCACTCACATCCAGCCATAGATCCACCCACACCAGCACACACACACCTCAAAAGGATTAAAGGAACTAAAAGGACCAAAATATTCTTACAGCTTTGAAAGATGTGTAAGCATAATAGTAACACGAGATAAATTTGATTTCTTATGTATGGACCTAGGTAGAGACCTGAGACTTTCATCATTCTAGAGAGAAGATTCACGCCCATCGAAGTATATCGAAATTCAATTGGTCAGCAATTGACCAATCAGTTGAGTACTTAGCAGAGATTTTTGAAAACGATATTCTGAAGCTATGCTTCTTTCGATCTACACGAAGCCGGCATTCATAGCTCATTCCGTTCGAGAACTATAAGACTTTTTCTGAGATCTCCGATTTCCGCCAATGAACTGTGATTACCTGGAAAAGAATGTAGGCAGAGGTAATTTGCCGTGCTAAGTCAAATGGTGATATTTGCTGTTAGGTTCGATATTATTACACACTGTTATCTCAATATTTATGAAATGTCGACTCCTTTATTACATGGAAACTGATTGTGGAATTTCAGAAATACTGAGATTATAGTGTCAGATCATTTCGAACCTAAAAACAAATATCACCGTTCAACTCAGAATAGTGAATTACCCCTGTCTAGCTGCTTTTTTGAGTGATCACAAATCAATTGACTAAAATCGAAGATCTCACGAAAAGTTTTATAACTCCCAAAGAGAACAAGATAAAAGTATCAGCCTTGTATAGATCGAAAGGAAAATCGTTTCAGAATATCATTTTCGAAAATCTTCACCAAAAATTCATCTGATTGTTCAATTGCTGGTCTTCTTTTTTGAATTGTGAAACCGCAAGTCTCTATGACATTGCTATCAAAAGTTATTTAAAAAATAGTGAAGCACATTATTTTTTGAAATGGATAGTAGTTTTAATTTGTGATGTTTTGTGTATAGCATAAAATATTATAAGTCTTCTTGTTATTTGTATTAATAAGCTATGAATTCTTATATACAACAAATTGGTTCATTGATTGTTTTTTTTAAAAGTAACTGGGATATGGATGTGGCTCTAGATGTGGCAGTTTGCATGTGGAGGTGTGGCATGCGTAGAGTAGAGCTACACTTAGTACCAACATCCATACTCTATTTTTATGATGGCTTTTGGCGATAGATACACACTATTAAATAAGTCATTTTTTTTCTCCTCACATTATATATCGTCGATATTATCGTGTAGATAGTAAAACTACTATTTCAAAAACATCAGTTGCGTTGTTTATATATACTGATTACGAACGTGCTCAGTCGATAAGATATTCAGAACTTGAAAAAAAAACAAATAACTATTAGATATCTTAGCATTATAATTCTCAATAGTAGAATTTTTCCTTTTTCTATATGATTAACTTTCTTGATATGTATAGACAAGCTTTTTTCTGGATTCAATTGTACTACTAAAACTAGAAAAAAAAAATACATTTTTTCATAATTTTGTACATTTACAGAATTTGAGTTAAGTCAAATTAGAACATTTTATTCATTTGTTCTTTGTTCACTTAAGAAATTTCATCTTGGTTTGTCATCAAATTAAGAATTGTTTGTATTACTGCTTATAATTACATGTTTGATAAATTTGGTTTTCTATCGTAAAAGTATTCATTCACCTAAAAAGAAAATAAAAATATTCTAATGTTACAAGAGAATAAGATCTGATAAAAATGCTTTAAATCCATGAACATATGTGTATATATAAGTTACTACTTTTCATAAATTTACAAAAATATTTTTCAGTGTTTAAACGATATTTGATAGGTTTGCCTCTGTTCATGGTTGTACTATCAAGAATCAACTGTATTAAATTAAGTAATAATTATCAGAGACCGAAATGAATAAGAAAATTTTCGATTTGGTTCATACAGAAAAGAATTACAAATCCTTTATCGTCATAAGTAAAAGGTATCTACATCCTGCATAAAATTTCACTTAGATTTTTGTGTGTATTTGTATTAAATCAATCGATTTAGAGATATTCGAAAGCTTCAAAGCAAAAGTACAATACAAATTAGAACTTGGATAGTATAAAAAGAAATGCTTTTCCTATCAATCAGTGAAGGTAGTAGCTTTTAAATTTGTATAATTAACGCTAATATATTTGTCTTCTTGGAGAAAAACGTATATATTAGGAAAACGAGTACACTAACTTCTATTTTCAATCAAAATCTATCTCAATTCTCTGATCTGAGCTGCAGTTAGTAATCCGTAATCTTGGTTGGACCAATTTTGCAACTTTTAAATTAGAAAACTTCGATATGTGATTTTCAATCAAGTTTTTCAAAGTCAGTTGTCTTCTTAATTAGTGAATCAGGCTATGTAGAAGAGTAATAAATCATCAAATCTACATTGATTTATAGCTGTATTACTAATCGTGCAATCAAAGTAGCAAACACTTGTCATACCAATAACAGAACTCTATCCATGTATTAACTAAAACCATACAAAATATTGACAGCTCTAACTGCTAAATAAAACTAGAACAATCCTCCTAAGTATGTGGAAAGAGAAGTAGTCATGAAAACAGCTGCAGATATATCTGTTTTCTCTAAAATTATCAGTCTTAGAATAAGTCAATATAAACTGACATCCTTAATGGAAATATCAGCAATAATTGAACTAATAGACTTCTCATGGATAGAAATCAATAAAGTTTGTAAAAGCAAAAAGCACAGAGAACATGAACCTTATAGTGGAGTGAATTTCATTACTCGTGTTTGAGAGTTAATAAAGAGAGTTACATTCGATTCAATTCGATTCGTTTGAACCGAGTCGAATCGAATTATCGAATAATTCAATGCGGTTTCGGTCTCTAATAATTATCTTACTTTTATAACAGATGGTATATATTATAAAATTCATTTGTTCGTGTCGTACTTTTATTGTAAGAATAGAAATACAAATCTGTTTCAAAATAATAATAAAAAGACTCCTTAGCAAAATGACAGAGAATTCAGACAAATCTAGAGTATTGAATAAGATAAATCAGAAACAAAATGATTTACTTTCTAATCAGAAGTATCACACTTATTGTTACTTATACTTCCATTTACCATGGGAACACTAAGTGTTTTCATGATCGAAAAGCTTTCTATTGAGCAACGATAAATGGTTACTTTATTCATTGTCTATTTATCATTGCATAGTAGTCATCATCACTTACTAGTTATCTAATATACAGTGGACAACGAGATGGACATGAGCAAAACCTCTATTTTCGAAAGTTCAAATATTGGAATGAATTTATCTATGATTAATAAGGAGCTGCGGGTCCACGAAAATGTGTAACTGGACCCAATAAAAAATAAAAGGTTGGACCCGGATCTGGGAGAATCCGCAGCAGAGATGCTCGTCGGAGCACCCATATGGTCGGAGCCCATGGAGAACCCATGGGGTGACGTCCCAGATGGGGAGGGAGCGATATATCACCCCAT